CCCCGACGCCGTCGGGGGCGCATCCGGGTACCGCGCCTGCGCCCGCTTCTGCTTCAGGCCTTTGCACCAACCGATGACGTTAATAATGGTGATCCACAGCGAGTCGATGATGATTTCCCCGAACTCGATGAGGCACAGCACCGAGCCCCCCATCCAGAACCCGAACTGGCCTCCCAGGCTCGACAGCAGCCAGACGATCTGCGGGGAGGAGGGCAGAGTGAGCCGAGCCATCCCTGGTCCCTAATCAGCCCCTACCCATCGCCCTATGTGCTGGCGCCGAGCCGGGTGCTGCCCCTGTCCCCAGGACCTGCCTGCCCAGTCCCTCACCTTGCGGGTACTGCCCTGGGGGAATGTGCTCCCTGGTGCTGCCTCTCAGTGACCTGCCCCACGCTGGTGACGGGGACAGGAGGTGGAGGGGAGGAATGAACTGGGGGCTGCGAACCGGCCGGTGGAGAGGGCTTTGTCCTCTTCCTCGCAGCAGCACCGAGGGACTCAGCAGATTATCCCGGTGAGGGGCATCTCCGGATCAGCCCCTGGGTGCTGAGCGCTGCCCGTCTGTCCGGGGTGATTTGTTTGTGCATTTGCTCACCAGGCGCTTGCAGCGCGTTGCGGCACTGGGCGGAAGGGCAGGAGTGGGCACTCACCGTCGTGGCGGCAGACTCCGAGATGGTGCGGTAGTTGTACTCCTGGAAGTAAATGTTCAGCTTGATGATGCCGTTTCTGTAAGGGACAAACGGCAGCTCAGCACAGAGCCGGGCTGTGGCCGTCCCGCGCCTCCGCTCCAGGGGCTGCCCGGGGGAAGGGCTGCGCACGGAGGGGCCGGAGCTGCTCAGAAGGCTCCTCTGCAACTTCTGCCGGGCACGTGGAAGAAGTTAAAAAGTGCCACTGGTTGTGAAGGGAGGAGATGCGGTTCTGAAGTTCCTCCTGAAAAAGCACTTGAGCACCTGGAAGCTTCTTTGGGGCTCTTTGCTTTGTTTTTCCCGACTGCCCTAGTTGGTCTAGAGGGTCCATCGCCCCATCCCCGTGTTCCTGTGTGAGCGCACAGAGGGGCTCCATCGTGACTGACCACGTTACAGGGGGCTTAACGTGCACACATCAGCCAATATTCTGTGAAACCATTTCCTGCTTCTCTGTTTGTGGTTTGTTTTTTTTTTCCTTTGGCAAAAAAACCCTCTTCTTTTCCCTCTAATTCAGGGTTTAGGTTCTCAAAGGGTAACTCAGCAGTTACCCTAATTTTGGTGCATCCCTCCTCCTGCTGCTGCTGTTGGCAGATTCAGAGAAGTATGAAAGGATGAACATTACGATCCAGGAGTTGGACCCTGGTGGTTCGTAGCTCGAGAGCTTCCAGACTCCTACATGCAACCGATTAGAGGGGCTGCGGTTAATGTTGATTTTAACTTAACTGCACGTTTGAGTTTGTCTGACCCAGTTTGTCACTATGGAGAACAGAGGATACGCATGAAGTGCGTTTCAGGTTTGCTTTACGCGTCTTCCAGGCAAACACGCGCCAAATCTCGTCCTCCCTTTGCATTAGCACACGCGTGCTCTGGCCCATCGCCAAGGTCCATGTTAGTCTAATGTTAACGGGCTCACAGAATCACAGAATGGTGGGGGTTGGAAGGGACCTCTGGAGATCATATAGTCCAACCCCTCTGCCAGAGCAGGGGCACCTCCAGCAGTTGCACAGGACGGCGTCCGGGCGGGTTTGGAATGTCTCCAGAGAAGGAGACTCCCCCACCTCTCTGGGCAGCCTGTGCCACTGCTCTGCCACCCTCACAGGAAAGAAGTTCCTCCTCATGTTAAGATGGAACTTTCTACGTTCAAGGCTCAATAGAGAAGATAAAGTGGTTGTTCCTTTCACTTACCTGTCCAGAGTCACATTTGTTGACATATCCCTTTCATAAGACAGAATATGGAAAATCCAGTCCTAGGAAAAGAAAATTTATTCAGAACCGAGCAGAAGCATTGTCTATGGGCACCTGCTGGGGCAGGAGCCCAGCGGAGTTGCAAGGGAGTCGCAGGACTTGGGGCAGGACCCCCGGGGAGGAGGTGCTGCCGTGGGGGTGTCCCTCCTCCCATCTCATGCCCTGGCATTGGTGTTTGTTTGCATGCTGAAAATGTGTAATTTAGCAAAGAGGCACTTGCTACCTGGACATTAGCTCTGAAAATACTGAGTGATTCATGTGGCAAAGACGAGGTAATTATTAATGAATGTTTTGAGGCAAGAAATAGGCATTACCTCTGAAGCTTCAGAGGGCCAGTCTGCCATGGAGATGGTCATCTTATACTGCGTGTCGCTGGAGAGAGGAAAGGAGAACATTGGTACAGAAGTTTCCCCTCCTCTGAAGCCACTGGAACGTCAGTTCTCATGCAGAAAAGCAGCCCCGCGTGATTTGCTGCCATTTCAGAAAGGTCAGAATTGATGGGAGACGAAATGCGGGATCCCCTCCACCTTTACAGCTGCCAGAAATGGCCAATGTACTTACTTGCACGTTTCCTTACAAGAGTCAATACAAATCTGTCTGTGTCTTATACTTGATCTCAGTGATGAATAGCAATATGCTGTTTGGTAAAAACAAAAAAATCAAAGCATCTGTTTAGGTAAGGACCCCACTTACTGGTTTATATCAAGTTAATTTAATAAAATAGATATTTAGGTATGAGCCTGCTCCATAGGTTTGCTGTCTTTCCCTCTAACCTTCCTTTCCTCGAGAAACCTGCGCAAAGCGGTCAGATAATTTAGTAATAAATTAAAAATAAATGTAAATTTTCTGCAGACAGTTTCTATAGAGTCACCTTGCCTGGTGCCAGTGCTTTCGGCACAGCCCTGGCCAGCTGCGGGCCATTCCCCCCTCCAGGCCATCCTCATCCTTGCAGGATCCCATTGCCTCTGCTGGGGCCAGTTTGTCTCTGGACTCTTCAGGGGTGGGAGCGTGGAGCATCACCCCTTTTTCTCTTCCTTTGGTACCCAGTGGCTCCCATTACCTCCCCCGGCTGGAGGCAGCCGTCTGGGAGAGACCTGCCCTGGGGCAGCGTGGAAGCTGAGGCCCCTCAGCCCATGGCCAGGACCAAAATTTCACCCCTTCTCCCCGGCATCGACCCCAACGGGGAGACTGTGCAGAGGGCAAAGCCATTCACCTGTTGCATTAACAATAGTAATAAACTCGCATCCTCTCCCGCCCCTCCTGCGAGCCAGGACCCTGGGAAGGCTGTGACATTAGTTCGGCTCATGTTCTTACCCCAACCTGGGTCATCTTCGTTATTGCAATAATTTACCCCTTCAGGTAAAGGAAACATATAGTGACCGCATCCGCAGATTTCAATCATGTGATTTTGGAAACAAGAGCGCAGGCAAGCCTGGAAAAGGGAAGAGGGAGCTGCTTAGACGTGGGCTGAACCCCCCCTGCCCGCCGCTGTGCTGCTGGAGTCTATGCTGGCTACGAGGATTACTTGGCTCTGAGGTATTTTCTCTCTTTTGCAGTGAACAGATGATTTTGAGGCCGCACACAGAGAAGGCTGAAGCCGCAGCGTGCTGCCAGAGCCCATCCCTGCGCGACGGCGGGATCCCATCCTCTGGCGTGCACCGAGCATCCCAGGCAGCACGGCAGGCTCAGGAAGCCCAGCACAAGTCACACTGGCTTTACAACGGTGAGACGAGGCGGGTGGATAAGCTGCCATGTCTAGAGCTGCACTGCAGTTAGGTTTTCTTTATGATGCATTTTTACTGCTGTTCCTCCAGATTTTAAGGTACATCCTCGTTGTGAGCCACCTCCGGGTAAGTCACCTTGCAGGAGCGGAAGAAAACTCAGTGCCTGCTCCCACTTGGACAACAAACTGCTCATTTCTTAACTATTTAGGGCTTTGTGGAAGTAATACAGAGTTTCCGAAAAGGAATAAAAATGTTCTGTTACACCCGTAGACACTGCTGTTGTCTCCAGGCTTTATATGGCACACCGCCAAGGGGCTGGTTTCCCCTTTAAAGCCGGGACTCTAAAAATACCTCAACATAAAGAGCAGGTTTGAGAAAACTGAATTATCCTATCTGTGCATCTGCTTCTCTCCTTGAAAGGATTGCAGCCGCAGCTTCGGCAGCCTGCGAGCCGGGCTGCGGCGCTGCCATTAGCTCAGCGAGGCATGAAGTTAATCATCTGAGATTGGAGTGGGATTCTGGATGAAACAGTGCACAAAGCAATAACAAAGTCTATGAAAAGATAATTAAATCTAACAGCTCCAGCTCTGGTAGAACAACCAGAGAATTTGTGTGTGATACAGAATGCTTACAGAGTTCGGTGCCATCAGGGAGTGACAGAAAAGTCCGATTTTGCTGAGAGGTCTCTGAAGTGACGTGAATTATGTGGACGTAGAACCCCAGTCAGCATTTAGCAACTTCTAAGTAATAATGCAATCATTTCAAGTATTTGCTTAAACGTTATACAAGCATCTTAAAAAGCAGGGTGAAGTGGTGCAATTGTTATAATTATATAAAGGCAGATATACAAAAAAAAACCCTGCTGGACCAAAGCCCTCCCATCTGTCTGGGGTGTATTCTTCAGGCTTTTGTAAATAACCCCCAAAATGGTTTGCATGTTTTCCTTTTTGCCAGATCTCACCCTCCAGAAACGCTTCTCCCTCATGTTATAGCCTGTTACAAATTAACCAGTGCTCAATGCTTACACTATATTTTTCTACAGATTCGAGGTTTACAAACCCTCAACTTTCTCATCCCAATTTTGAAGGGAAGAAAAGGCAAAGGTCTGTCTTCATTTCCTATACAAAACAAGCAGGCGTTTTCAGGGTGAAAAATGCCTTAAAGAGGAAAGGATTTCAAACTGTCGGAGTGTCGAGGAGAGGAATCCCTCCTGTATATTCCTTCTCCCGTCAGGGATAAATATTACTTGCGTACACAAAACAGGAGCTGCTCTGCACATTAGAGCAATGCCGTGGCTAGAACAACAGGTCTCCGCATACTTTTTCCCCTCCCAGGGAGCCCCGAGCAGCAGGAGCCAGCCCGTCTCCCAAAAAGTGTCACCTCAACGTCTCGGCAAAATCTCCCAGCGCCGCAGTGACCGTTCACGCTGCAGGACAGCGCCTGCGGTTGCTGCGGACGGAGCAGCTTTGCTGTCCCGGCTCCAGCGGCAGAGGCGGCGACGGGGATTGCTCAATAACGCCTGGAGTGTAGAGCCGTCTGCCTGTTGGACGTGGGTAATGCCCATGGGTAGAGTCTACCCCTTCCCGCTTGGTCTACCTATAATTAACAGATTTCAACCAAGCATGGAAATTGTAAGGGGAAAAGGTATTCTTGCAGCTGAAAAAGAAATTAATTGCCTTAATGCCATGGCATGAGCAGTTATTCTCTTTAAAGGAGAAAAACTGCCTGTGGCTTTGCTGGGCAGCCGGCAGAGGAGCGTCGGCTAACGCCGTGCCTGGCGCCGGCCAGGAGCGGGTCAGTCCCCCCCACTGCTGCCCGAGGTCCCCACGCGGACCCTGGGGGGACGGGCAGCTCCACGTTCCCAACCGGACACGCTGGAAGGTATGTTTTCCCGGTGTTTTCCACATTATTAAGGAACTGGCATTAGTTTCAGCCTGTTTCAGATGCTCTCCCCTGCACTTGCCTTCTGGCTCATCACCCTGGGGCACCAGCGGTCCCCAGCACTTCCCAGTGAAACCAGTGCCAGGAGGGAGTGAGGCTGGGTGGGACGGGGGCGCGCGGTCCCCTTGGATTCTGCCCGCTGAGCCAAGGCAGTACCCGACCGGTGCCTGACGGCAACTGGGGACACTCAGGGAGCCAAAAGAGGGGAAAACTGAAGAACCAGCAGTTTTTAAGGGACCAAAGGGCCCGGGCACACCCTGCTCTGGATGTGTGGGAACCCTCCGCTTTGGGGAGCCACGCTCTGAGGCAACAGGGTACGAGGAAAGGACCAGCATTAAACAGCGCTCGTATGCGGAGGTAAAAATATCTGCTTTTTTGTCTGCAAATTAGCTGGTAGGTGACACATGGCAGGGTCCTGTGTACCAACACATCCTGGGAGGTGTGCTGTGTTCCGGCTTTTGAGAAAATGACAGAAATTACCATTTTCATGCCTCTTAAAATGAAACAAAATTCATTCTTGGCTAAGGGAACAATAACTGCTGGTGCCCTTTCCAGGCCGTACGAGCTGTTTTGGTGTGAGATTGAAAACCGAAGATTGCGCTAAACTGTGCTGCCTGCCAAAGCAATCTTCCTTATCTTTTGATGCAAGTTTTAATATCTGCATCATTTGGTCTTGCTCCTGCAATACACAGTTATTTCCACTGGATCTACTGGGATAGGTTCCAAACCTGGGCTTACTCAGTGTTCAGACTTCAGTGTGGGTTAATTACCAGAAAAGAAGGCTCCTGTACTTGGGTTATGCTTTCTACTTTATCATTGCTGGTGCTCCACTAATCCTGCATGCTAGTCAAAGATTTTATCTGCCTTGATGATGTTTCTTAAACAGCTTTGACTGAAAAAATGTGTTTTACCTGTATGGAATAGGAAGTATTATATTGGCTATAGAGATTTTTTACGGGGACATCAGAGCCGTTCATGGTGCAGTCACTGTAGGGAGAGCCCATCCGTTCCAGTTCATCCTGAAAGAAAACCGAAAGAGCAAACTTCAGTAGCTAGCGCTCCTCACCAGGTCCCTGGTGCCCGTTTTCTAGAGACTCTGTAATTCCTGTATTCCCTGATAGCTTTGAAAAAAAGTCAAAGCATCATAGGCGGCAGAGCTGAAAGAGATGCAGCCTGTTCCCCGGGGCCGGATCGCGGCAGATGAGGGTGTTCAAGAGCAGCATGTTTTAGCAAAGCACCTTCTGACATGCTAAAGGAAGAGGGAACAATGACCTGAGCTCAATATTTAGGCTTCAATAAAGCACTTTGCCAGGACAGTTACATAAAAGTCTCCATAAACTGTTCCAGCCCACAGCTAGCGTATACCTTGACTCTTTCGGTTTGAGCCAGTTCAGCCAAGACTTAAAACAAACTTGGTTCCAGTCCCATCAGATAACATTATTCTCAGACAATCTGCTCTAGAGGAATGCCACACATACCACTAACACGCCGATGGAGGTTTCCGTCCCGGCCATCGCATAGATGCCCTGATCCTTAAGGAAGGGGAAGCTCTTCTGTTGATGCAGCATGAGCCTGGCCCCCGCAGCGGATGACAGGTAGGGGATATAGTCCTGCTGACTGATGTCCAGAATTAACTTCAGCCCTGGGACACCAGACAAAACACTCAGAACAGGAATGGTATCGAAATGTGAGTCTTTGAGAAAAAAGGGGAGTCTATTTTCTTCTCGCTGTGCACAGAAACCTCCATTCTTTGGGGGAGAGACGGGGTCTGGCTGTCGTAACAGCCTTGCCTGTGCAGGAGTACGTGTGATGGCAAATGCACAAGATGGAAATATCTGATTGAAAATTCAGACATTGCCTCAGATATTTTAGCTATCCAGATGTTACACTTCTGCGAAGTAACATCTGAAGTCACGTTACTTGTTTTTATGTGGCACATTTCCCTTTTGGGGGTTTATCCCGTCCTGGAAAGGTTCCTCCCTGCTGCAGCGCTCCAGACACACAGAAATCGTAAATCTGTTATATCTGACAGAAATGGCCACGGAGAGACAGAATAACTCCCAGCACTTCTGCTCCTTTACCTCTTTCCTCCACAGCAGAGCTCTCACTTACCAAACTCGGCTCCGGGGTTGGAAGAATTCAAAGCCTCTTCCTCCATGCCCCAGTTAAAGATGTAGCAGTTACCGTGGTCTGGATGATAGATTTGTGTGAAATTCCTGGAAGAATCATGCACATAAAACTGTGAATCTCAGGGAGGTCTAAAGGGTTATAAAATAATGCATCTGGTAGGACCGGTGCTTGGTGGTTAGGTCTGGGATCCACTTTAAATTGCTTCATTTGTTGAATGTCTCTATAGAAATTTCAGCTGATGTAATTTCAATTTGCTGTTGAAAAAAAGCAAAGCAACGTACTGGTGTGTACTGAGACACAGCCACTGGGGATAACGCTTTGTCAGAATGTAAAGGAATCATCTGTCACACAGATGAGACAGAAATAATTGCTTGATCCGAGCTATGGTAACAGGTTTTGGCTGGTGTTGTATCTCGTTCTTTGGTAATAATTCTCTGTCGCTCTCTTTGCGGAAGGGGCGTCGCAGAAGGGGCAGGACCCCTTCGCAGCCTGCCGTGCTGGTGCGCGCTCCTGTTTCTCAAAACTGGATATGGAAATTGGGCGTTCACAAGAAATAACGACGGCTAAAATGCATTTCTCAGAGCCTTGTGTAAAAAGAGAAGGGGCTGTAACTGGGGGCTGCACTGCTGTGCCAGGGGTATGCTGACTCAATATGCTGACTCAGCACCTGGGCTGGCGGCTGGTTATCCCTTAAATACCCTGGGAAGGTCCCATGGATGCTGTTAGTCTTGATATGTCATGAGCAAAACGGCCCATCCAAAGCTAAAACTCAAGCCAGCACAATCCCAAAATAACCCGTTTCATCCGTGATGACATCCAGAAACTCTCTGGGAAATGTTAGAGCTAAGGACCAGCAGAAATCCCTTTATTAACTGATATATACCTTAAAAAGAGAAAAGAAAAAGGCTGTCGTGCCTTTAGCGTCCTGTACCATTCCTGATGTGGCAGAAAAGGGCAGGGAGCTCGGCATGCACCTACTTGTAGTTGCAGGGTTCGGCCCCATAGAGACACGCCAGGATCATGTCTTCTGCCTGGTAGCCCATCCTGATTCTCTCTTGCAGCGGGACTTTGGAGAGGATGCTCGTGGACTGCAGGATGTACCACTCGGTCACCGCCTGCGCCGCGCTGGTGAAGTTTCTGTAGGTGCAGTTGTCGGAGCCCTGATGGCTGCACTGGGGACACACAGCAGGCAGGTCTGAGCGCGTCCCTCGGGGGGGCACGGCAGCAGGAGGGACGTACGGGGTGCACCTTCTGTCCCTGCGCGCCCAGCGTGATGCCAGCCCTGCCTGCTGCTCCCAGGGGAATGAAGGGGGCATGGCCAGACGGGATCTGCAGAGCCGACTGTCACATCTATATATGTTTACAGACAGGTCCCTCCCCGGGGAGATTTCCCAGCTGGGCAGACTCTCCATCGGTCCCAGCGTTACCTCCACAAACTTACAGAAAATGTCACTTTTTGGTCAACCCTTTAAGGCTGGAGTTGCCCCAGCTTCCAAGGTCTGGTCCTTCAAGCCTCCATGGAAGCAGAGGGTAGGGGAGTCGTGAGACCAACACGTGCCTGTGTGCAGAAGGGGGGCAGGGACATGAGCCGCAGCCTCTCCCCGACATTTTGGGTGCCGGACCCAAGGAGGAGGTGAAGGTGGCAGGGAGCCTGCACGGAGCACCTCTGCCCTGGCTCTGCCCCGGGCTCAGCCCGCAGCAGGGCTGCGCTGGGCAACCCCAGAGTGTGTACCGCATTGTCCTCTGTGCTGTGGGGACACTCCACCGACCAATGCTGTGCACAGCTCAGTTACTGCCTGCTACCGGCCGGCATTTCCAGCATCCCTCTCGCCGGAGGCTGATGGACCCACTGGCAGGATCCGTACCTCTGATGCAGTGCCAGGCTGCTACAAGCTGTCGGTCCCTTTTTCCATGAGGCTCCCGCTGATCACACTGATGCTATGCAGCTACCTAAAATTCATCCCAGACTAACTTAACACGGCTCCTTGCTGGGTTTCCTTTCATTTAGCTAAGTATATTTAGGGTATGATCCTGCTGCAGGCCCCATTCGCAGAAATCCAGCAGCTTCAGCTGTGTATCCTGTGGGGCATCAGACACCCCTCGGAAATTTAAAAAAAAAATATCTTAAAATACCTCTGTGCTGCCTTTCTCAAAAACCAAACAAACAGCTCTGTAGCATTGAAATAACATGCCATAACTTGCAAACTGCCCATGGGCTCCGCATGCCTTGTACTGGCGCAGCTGGACCAGAGCCCCGAGGCACAGCGGCCACGGGCAGCTGGTGGGGAAGAGACACCGATCTCAATGCCGCATCCCCGCCGAGGTGCCCAGCGCTGCCTGTCCCTCATCCCTCCCCGGGTGCCTCCCATGGGACCCCTCTCACCAGCTTCACTGCCAGCTTGTACTTCTTTTCTTCTGATGTCACGTTGGCTGGGGCAGGTGGAGCAGCTGTTTGGTTGCCCACAGCAGTTTGGTTGCCCACAGCAGCTTGGTCGTCCTCAGTGGTTTGGTTGCCCGCAGCAGTTTGGTTGCCCACAGCAGCTTGGTCGTCCTCAGTGGTTTGGTTGCCCGCAACCGTTTGGTTGCCCGCAGTGGTTTGGTTATCCATAGCAGTTTCGTTTCCCACAGTGGTCTGGTTGCTCTCAAAGATGTCCAAGATGATGGGATTGTCTTTGTCATGCTCGTCAATGAGGACCAGGGGTATCTGGTGCCAGAGCTCCAGGTCAAGCGGTGGGGAGGTGTTCTCGCTGCTGTTCCCTGGCGTGGGCTGCAGAATCCTCTCCAGTGCCGCTTCGATGAGCCTGTCCAGCTCTTTCAGCAGATGCTTCACCTCTGAGTATCTGCAGGACAAAGAACAGTTATCAGGTGGCGTCAAGGTGGTGGGGACGTGGAGGAGCTCATTTGCCACTCCACTGGCCTGGACCTTCCTGGGGACCTTGTATCGCTGCCTACAGATTTACTGGAGAATGATGGGAGCCTCCATGCAGAGCACGGCCAGCTCAGACATGGATATCTCAGAAGCCTGCAACCAGGTGGAAAACCAGCGGGAGGATAAACAGAGAGTGCTGCGATGGCGAACGGTGCTCTGGCAGTGCAGAACCGAATGGGTTATATTTCAGTAATTCACTCCAGTTTGTGCAAAACATCTCTAGCAAGCAGAGAGAAAAAGAACCAAAATCCTGTGTGCTGGTCGAGAGCATATTGCCTTGGGCTACACTGTTGCATGGATATAAATTCGAAGCAACAAAAATCAGTTACTCCTCTGAAATTACAATCGAGTTATATCACTGCAGGTCCCAGCAGATACTACTGTTTAACCAGCTCTTAATGGCCGGAGTGTAAGCGATAAGAGGTACATTCACGGCGAGGAAGGAGAAAGAAAGGGATTGTGGGGAAAGATTGAGAGACTGATTTTGGTTGTGACAAGGGAGTTGAACTTCGAGTTTTCCCTGAGCCAGGGAAAGTTTGCAGGGAGGCAATAACCATCATTAGATTAACTGATACAGCAAGGAAAACCAGGCAAACTCACAGGCACACGGACCCTCCTCTGGACCTCAGCCGTTCACCCCTATATTATTGTTCTTTATTTGGTTTTTAGTGCCACTTTGTGAGTCAAAGGATCCTTTTCATTGATGCTCCTCATGTGATATCAGAGACAGGAATGGATCCACAGTGCCTTTTGCTACCAACATAACTGCACGACCAGGTAAATTAGGTAAAGAAGAACTTACTTGAAAGGGTTGGCATTGCAGACCGTCACTGCTGGGAACTTCATGGTCTTAAAGCCAATAGAGAGAGATGACGTGACGTTATAGGAGAGGTAAGTGTTGATGAGGATACCCCACTGCCAGAAGACCAGAGACGCAAAGAGCAACGTTAGGAAGAACCAAATTAATTTCTTCTTTGGCCCCTCTTTGATGATGCGCTTCGGGCCGTGGGTGTTGGTGTTGTCGCAGTACCAGACCAGCAGCTCCTTGTAGGTGTAGCCAGGGCCCTTCTGCAGGCGGTGCAGCGCCCGAATGAAGTACTTCTTCAGGTTCATGCTGCTGTCTGCAAGCGGGAGAAAAGACATCAAACCAGCTATTTTGAGAGGCAGGGTTTGTATTGCGCCAAGTACACTTGTATCATCAGCGAAGCAAAGCTGGAGTAGTTATGTCATGGCACTACTGTAGTTTTATAACCCGGGAGAAACTCAGAGCAGATGTTCTGCAGGTTACACCGTGGCAGTGAAATGGCACGGAGCCCTTCAGCTCCTGAGAGGGTACGAGGGGGAGGTTTGTGCTTTGCGGGTCCAAAAAATTGTGAACGTTTTTGTCAGATCCCTGCGGGGGTCCGTTCTGGCCTCACGGGAGTTAAATGACTTGGATGTTGGGACATGGCTGTGCTGGTGGTGACTTCCTGAGGACTGGTCCCCGGGCTCTGCAGGTGTTGCAGTAAATAACCAGACGACTTTTTAGGAAGTCGGTGTTTTGTGTGCAAACTGGTGTGTCTCTACCATCGTCTGAAACCTCTGCCAACGCTAGATGGACCAAGCGGTACGCACATGAGCTGGTTTCCGGTAGAATTCAGGCCAACAGTGTTTAGCATTCAAGCTAATACAGGGCTTAAGACAATTTTTTCTTAAAAGTAAAAAGTGTTGCAGTGCACCAGGCTATCGGAGGGGGCAGGAGGAGAGGACCTGGAACCCGCAGTGCCTTTCCCAGGACCAGGAATGCTGTTCAGTGCTGCTGCCCACCAGAGGAAGGAAAACGGATTGGGTTTTTTTTCACCAAATTCCTCTGTCTTTCAGATACTATCGGTATGCTTCCCCTGCTCATGTGAGGGATGTTGCATATTTTACATTCATATTGTGAGTAAATAGAACATTTTGTGCTGCTATTTTAAGGTGAGGATTTGTGTTACTAAATCTTAATATCCCGAGGCAGGATTTCAAAACAAACCCGAGTCATCTGCTTAGAACATTTTTCACATTTAAACTGTAGGAGAACAGAATTAAAGATTAATGCTGCGGATAACTCAGCATCCTAGAAGAAAGAGTGCTGAAATAATACAGCGATATTTCAATGATGAGCAGTACTCAGCAATGCAGAAACTAGATTAACACGAAGTTACTTGCAGACAGACTACCAAAGGTCCAGAAGGAAGCCGAAGGGTGTGCACAGACCTTGTGGGGAGTGGGAGGAACTGTATCCTTCTTACCTTTCCGGAAAAAAAACAAAGGTGGTAATACTGATTCATTGATTTATTGGCCAGATCTGCAAAATCTCCTGAGTAGTATATATAGAGTTTGATAAGAGTATAAAACCAATAGATTTTATGATGTCTCACTCCGTGATGCAAAGAGAGATGACGATTTTCATTGCACACCCGATTGCGTGTGATGTTAGACGTAGCTTAACGCCATGAGGTCTCGATGGGAGAGTGCTTTGGAAAGAAGAAACTCCAGCTGCTTCCCTCCAAGATTTGAGGGCAGGCTCTGCTCTCACGTGAAAATGTTTTGTTCTCCAAGGAACATATTTCCTGGGACTCAGACCTCCTGGACCCCTCGGACCCCCGACCCACCAGCTCATCGTCCTCCGTGAACTCATACCACAGAGGTTCCCACCCACAGCTGCCTGCAGAAGGGTTTATTCGCCGAAGCAGCTTACATTGCATCAGATGCTCGCTGCCTTTTGGGCAGGACTATAACGAAATCAGGAGGAACGCTGTTAGCCTCTGCTTAGCTGCCCACGGCTGAAGGGAATATGTGAAACACGCAGGACCGTTCTGCCTGAGCCTTCTGCCGCCGGGTGTGAGCACAAACCCCTCTCAAGGCACAGCCTCAAGCCAGTATCGGCAAAATACATTTACATCCAGAGAGACTAGCAAGGCAAACTAGTAAATATTTTCCGTCTTTTAAGAAATCCAATAAAAGATTTAGATTAGATTAAAATTTAAAACACACCTACACTGCACTGGGCAAAATCCAGCCCGGCTGGACCTGACTGGCCGCATGCCCTGCAGCCGGTTTGCTCTGCTGCTTACGGACTGTGCCGGCCAAACACGGAGCGTGGGCTCCTGCTGAGAGGCTGAGACTGGCCATGGAGGGATCCCAGTTTGTCGTACGGGTCTTTGTGGGTTGCTCATCAACCTCACATTGCTGGAAAGAGTTATTATTTCTTTTTATATTGTTTCCTGAGGCTGAATTTTAGCTTTTTTTTTTTCCTGACAGCAATGTTGAGACACATATTTATGGGTTGAGGAGCACACACGGAGTAAAAGCTCTACTTTCATACCTGAGTAAAGTTAAAGACGCTGAACAGCTAATTTTGATGCTGCTTTATCTTTGTTCACAGTTTTGCAGGAGTCATTGATACACTTGCTCTCCACCTTGAATTAATTTCCATGTAACCACCTAGCCTGAGAGTGCTCTTTGCAAAGTCACAGTGCGCTCGCTAGCGATAGCGAGGGGAAGATACTGTGCTTGGAAAGGAAGACCAGCTCCAAATCAGTATTAAGCAAAGACCGGAGTGCCTTCTAGCTTGCTTTATCTCTTCCCCTCACCAACCGTAAAAACACTGCGCTGAAGGGCAGCATTTTCACATTTTTAAGTTAGATTCAGGCCACACTGTGGAAAATCCGATTAAACTTGGTTTTAGATATGTTTTAAACTGATTCAGAATGTTTTTTCCCCAATGTCAAAGCTACTGGACCTGTTCTTTGCAAGTGCTGCTCTGTCCCATGGTCCCACAGGATGCCTGCCAGCGGGAGCACAGGCATGGGGACGGGGATGGGGATGGGGTGGGCTGGAAGAGCATCCTCAGGCAGAATACCTGCAGCATCCCCATCCCGCCATGAAAACACACAGATCCCAAAATTAAGAAACCAAACAAGCAAAGGTGTGCTGGCAATACAGCCAAGCAGACAGTCACAGGTTTTGCAGGCGACATCTTAACATGGCAGCAGAGTGAAGGACTTGGGTTTGCTCCTCCGTTAGGCATAAGCTGTGCTTTTAAACAGGTCATTTGATAAAAGAAGTGGCATTAAGCAAAAGCTCTGCTTGACCATACTTGGATGACTTTTTTTCAATCTTTTTTCTCACTTTAATAGTTTTCTTCTTACCTTTATTTCCAGAATGTTTCCAAACAGACTTCTTGTTTCTTTCTCACCACTGAAAGCCACCCCGTGCAAGGTGCCTTGCCTGATCAGAAGCCAAAGCCCCTGTTACGGGGGGGTCCTTGCCCCGGGCACAGAGGCTCAGTGCTCAGATGCCGTGGCTGTTCGGAAGGGGTTTGGTACCAGTTTTGGTGCCAGCCTGGTGCTTGTCCTGCTCTCCCCCATCAGCGGGCTGCACCTGGAGCAGAGAAGTGACAAATGAGGAACAAGACCCATCCTCCATCGGTACACAGATAATTGTCACCCCTTCCCAAAAACCCCTCTAGAGAAAGGCAGCGGGGGCCGCAGTGGGACAGGAGCCAAGGAGGAGATCAGGGCTGGGGATTCAGAAGGTGTTTCCCCCTTGATGGACACGCAGCCCGGCTCCTGCCGGTGTGTGGCATGAAGGGCAGTTGCACGGTTACAAAAATCTGTCCCTGCTGCCTCAGCATGTGAAGCTCGAGGGCCTGGAGATTTGGCAGCTCCCAGCTGCTGCTCACTGGTTTTATTTCTTGTTTGGCTGCTCCGCTTCCAAGGCCCCCATCAGGGAGGGGAAGGCGCACTCGTTAGGCTCCCTCACTCCTCTTCTCCTTTGCATTTTTTATTGTCGCACTGCTCTGTTTGCAGAACTGGTCTTTAATGTGCAGATAAGAACTGACTTTGTCTCCTTTGCAGATGGTTCCAGGGAACCACCACTGCTTCCCTTGCCACCTCCCCACTGCCGTGCTTTGCTCTGGGCTGCCCCTTCTCAGCACACTGGTGTCATCTCAAATGACTGTCCGGAGCCGACCACAGGGACACGAGACCCCTGTGGTGCACAGGGTGGCATATGCCCCTCTCCTGGCAGTACCCGCATCCCCGTGATGACCGAAACCATCCTAAAAGCAACCTGCTTCTGGTTCTAATGTCATTTCCTTTGCGCTGCGAAGGAGGTGTCCTCACCTTCCCCCAGCAGCGCTGAGTCCAGCCCTGCATCATCCCAGCATCATCCCAGGTGAAACTCCTCCACCTTACGGGTGAGATCAGACTCCCACATTACGAAATGATTGTGTTGACTGTGTTGAATCTCCTCTGGGGTTTTCCTAGGGCAATTGCCACTTAAAGGAAATAAAGGCATAAGCAAAACTCAGCACACTCCTAGAAGCTCCAGGGTGGTACCTCGGCTGCAAAACCACTCCAACATTACCGGGCCTGATACTGCAATTATTCAGTACTTTCTCTGCTGTGACACACAACAGTCATTGCTCTTTGATCACCTGCTGCTCATCTGCCAACTTCTCCAGAGCCTGATGAAAAGACTTTGTTTTCCAAGAGAAGACATTTGTGCTGTCCAGTGGTATTTTTTGCAAATTAGAAGACCTTTTTTTTATTACATCACAGGTTTACAGCTTGGCAGTTGAAAAACAAAAGTGGAGCAGTAACGTGTCAGCGAGCACTGAAAGCCCTTCCTGAGCCTGGGGGTCACAGAGTGCCCAGCAGATGCTTTGCCTTGCTGTTGTGTGTGAAGAGAGAGCGACGGCCACCTGCAGCCACTGGCTCAGATGCCCACCGCTGCCGCGATCCGCGCAGGCGCCTCCGGGTCTGTAATCCCGACAGGCACGTGTACAGCACTCGAAGAGTATTTACAGTCTGGAATTTTGGATAGCATTTGCCTGCCTCTCTGTGCTGTATGTCAGACGCTCCATGCCTTCTTCCCCTGCCTGTGTTTCCCGTGATGTCCCTGTCTCCTAGGACGATGACAAGCCTCACTCCTCACGTGCCGGTAAGGTCACGTTGCTCAGAGTTAACTCTGCTGCTTGTGCAATGAACGACGTGAATCCTGGAATGCAAGAGGAGCAACCTTCTGCAATAAGGCCGGTGTCCCGGAGAGGGAGCATCCTCTGCCCTCACCTGGGAGGCAGCAGCCTGGGTTGGA